TGTTCAAAAATTTAAATGTCTGATTAAAGACAGAAATCTGGAGGAGATCTGCAAGAACTTCAATACATTAGGCTTTCACAAAAAACTTCTGTAAAAGAAGAGCCAAAAGAGTAGTGCCTCTGCTGAGGGAAGGACAGGGAAAATGTGGCTACTGTGCCACTTTGTCTGCCTGTGCACCTGGTCTTAATGAGGTCAAACTGAGCAGGAAACATATTTCTGCAAAGGGAGGACAAACGCTTGTTGGAAAATATCGTGAACTCATGGCTTTCTGTCTGCTAGTTCTTCTTGTTCATGCCATGTGTTTTTTTCTTTTTTTTTTTCCCCAGGATTATTATCCAAGAGGATTTAGACCTTGCTTAAAAAGGTATGAGTCTTATTTTGGTTGTATTCTTTCTTCTGTGGACCGCTGAAGTAAACCAAGCTTATTTCTTTTGCCAGCTGCTCCGTTATATCACATATTTTTCTGGAAGAGAGAAAAAAAAAACCAAATCAAAATCTTTTTTTCCTTCCTTGTATTGAGTTGATAACTGTACCTATTTGTACATACTGTTAGTGTTATAAGGTAACGTAAGGGATGTCGCCTCCCCCCCGACTATTCTTAATTGCTAGACTTTTCACAGATTTTTACCTTTGTTTGTCCTTTGCTGTGGTTTTTTATAGCTTCTGAGATTTTTTGATCTAGAAGAATGCTTAATGCTTAAATATTTTTGTCAGATGCATCCTCTTTGTGACATCATTATATTCTTTTTAAGTTAAATGCAGATGCATAATGGTTCAGGTTATATGAAGTTTTATTTTGAAGTATATTTTGCAGGATTGACTGAAGGACTCAGACTGGGAAAATGCACAGGTGTTTAACCTATGTTCTTGAATAATTCATTTGCAGCACCTGAAAGTATTTTGTATGCCAGTGGCCTGAATTTTCTGTTACTGAAATCTGGCCTTAAAGAAATTAAGGCCTTGTTTGTTTTGTTCTTCGTTGCAGACTCTGAAATGCACTTGTGTGATTTCCTTAGTATAAACTGTTGAGACATGTACAAAACCAATTTTCCAATGGTAAATCAGGCTTTACTTGGATTAAGAATTATACACAGCACAGTGTGAGGTGTGTAATTAATGTGGTAAATTTTTTATAGGCTCCTTGAGGAAATAACTTTTTTCCTTTCCTGAAAACTGATCTGGATGTTGAGATCTGCTGGGAGATATATATACTTATATATTTCCTTTCTTGTGGAAAATATAATTACTTTTTAATGATCTTCTGTATTATATGAGCCAGATGATAATCCAGCTGCTTTGTGTTAGCTGGGAATAGCTGTTTAACATCTTGTACCTGAGGACAGGAATTTTTATTTTGCTGTCCTGATGAAGGAAGCAATTCAAATGAAAGGCCTGTGGGATCAGGAATTCTAGAAATAGTTCGGTTTGTTTTCAGAACGACTATGAAGAGATATTGAGATACTGTGCACCAGTTTTCAGCACACAAATAAAAGAACCAGAACAGCCTCTGAAGCAAGCACTTGCATGCTGTATCTTTCATTTTTCTCCTGTGGTCTGAGTGGAAGCATATCTATCATGTAACATGAACTCGTTATTTCACTATGATGTCTGACGTGATTAAGAATGCTTGTGTCTTGGCTATGTCGTGTCAGAGGAGCTGCAGGGTTTTTAAATTGGAAGATGGCGAGGTACACGTGAGGAAAAAAAAATCAATCTGTGTGGTTTGTGGCTTTCTCCCTGTGTTAAGATCTCAGGGGAAGAGGGTATCGGGAAATATCTCTGGATAGGTATTGGGTTTATGTGCTCAATATCCCTCGTATGTATGGTATATTGCAGGTATATGTAGAAATAGATCTGACTTTTCTTTATGAGAACATATGCAGTAGATACTCGGCCTTGGTTTTGTAATCAAATGCTTGCTAATACCAGTCTTCTCTAATGTTTCTTGAAGATGCCTGCTGCCTGTGATTCGGTGCTTGAAGATATTGAAGATATTGTGTCAGCAGAAGATTTGAAACCGCATGATCGGCAGTTTGTGAGAAAGAACGTTTTTCCAAAAGTGCGAAAACGCAATTCACAACAAAATGTTCAGGCAGATGATGATCCCCCAAGTGACAGGTAAGTTCTTCCATCAGCCCTGTGTTGTTACTTTTCTCATGCCTTATGTGCGCTATCAGCTTCTAAAAATAAGGTGGAAGTTCTCGTTATCTCATAATGTAAAATGTGAATACATGATAAAACTGAGTAAAATAGTGTTTATAAAATGTGGTGATAATGAATAATAAATCCTAAGCAAATTTCTCGTCCTACAAACTTTCTGTAGAAATCAGTTATGATCGAGATACTGATTAATGGAGCAATCAGACTGGAAAAATGGTTCCCGTTACTTAAGCTTTTGTGTAAACCACTTCTGAAAAATTGTCGTCTTCATCTTAATTACCTAAATAGAAGCTGAGCTCCTCAAAATACAGTCCTGTGGAGTAACCTTTTTACATCTGGAATGAGAAATATGAACAAAATCCTGTGAGTCACAAAAGGGTTGAGGTTGGAAGGGACCTCTGGAGGTCGTCTTGTCCAAACTCCCTGCTCAAGGAGGGTCACCTAGAAGCAGTTGACCAGGACTGTGCCTAGATAGTTTTTTAATATCTCTGAAGAGGGAGATTTCACAACCTCCCTGGGTAACCTGTACCAGTGCTCAATCACCCTCACGGTCAAAAAGTGTTGCCTGACGTTCAGAGGGAACCTCCCGTGTTTCAGATGTGCCTGTCGCCTCAGGCCCTGTCACTGGGCACTGCTGAGAAGAGCCTGGCTCTGTCCTCTTTGTACCCTCCCTTCAAGTATTCATAGACATTGATAAGATCCCCCTGAGCCCTCTCTTTTCCAGGCTGAACAGTCCCACCTCTCTCAGCCTTTCCTGTTATGAGAGATCCTCCAGTCCTTTAATCGTCTTTATGGCCCTTTGCTGGACTATCTCCAGTATGTCCATATCTCTTGTGGGTGAATCCCATCAGGGCCCAGGGACTTATGTATGTATGGTTTCCTGAAGTATTCCCTGACCTGATTCTCTTCCACCAAGGGTACAGCTTCCTTACTTCAGTCTTGCCACCTGGTTTCTGGAACCTGGGGTTTCCAAAGGCTGTACTTTTTGTCTGTACATCCTGCGAGTGATGTAGTGGAACTTCTTTTGAACTTGCTGTTTTATTTCAGTGGAAACAGTATGCAGTAACTACAAAACGTAGCTTTGCGTTTTTCCTTCTTACAATTCCTGTAAGAACAGAATCGATTTTCTGCTGCAGTGGAATTGATTAAAGTATAGGTGAACGCAGTTACTGATCCTGGTTTCTACTGCAGTTCAGAGATCTGGGTTTTGGTGGGGTTTTTTTCCCCCCATTAGTTTCAGGCTGGCCGGTTTTGGTGGGTTTTTTTTTCCCCCCATTAGTTTCAGGCTGGTAGATGAAATTTCCCCGCTTTATACAGATGAAAATAAAGTATGTCTGGGATGCACAGGACATTCAATTCTGGTGTTTTGTTAGTGTTCAAAAGGTATTTTATAAGCGGAACAATGCACGTTTAAGTGAAGCCCCATAAAGGTGCATTGACCCCGTTTTACCATGACGGTATGTACAGCTGAGCTGGTGGTCTATAGACACTTCGCACTAGCACTCCATTCTCCTAAGTATTCAGGTACTATATATTATCTAGCAGGCTGTATTTTAGTGTTTTTGACCCAAGAAAGCACATTGGATGTATGTTGTTTAGACAGTAGGAAGTCTAAATATATTGTATATGTGCAACATGTTGCATGCATCTACTTAATAATCATTAATCCTCCGTCAACCAATTTCTATTTCTAGCTAGGGGAAGTATCTTTAAAAAAAGAAGAGTAGGGGGAGGAAAAAAAAAATATGTGGGCAGGACAAAGGATTGTGTTCCAGCATGTGTGTTGTTCTTGTACTGGCATCTTTAGTTCATTGGCACAGTTATCCCAGGAGTTTCAGTTCTTGTGGAATTTTTTGTTGATGCTGAAACCATTGTGCATGCAAACTCCATGGTGCACATCTGCCATGCTGCTTCTGTAGCCCAGAAAGGTTGGGGTATGAGCTTTCAGTGTTAGTGTATCTGGTGGCAGGCTTAAGTTAAGAATTTATAAAGCTGGCTTGTGTGGAAGGAACTACAATTAATGGATGCCATAACATCACAAGGTTGCAGTTTAGCTCTAACAGTTTGTTTGCTGGTGGCCTAACTTCAGTGCGGTCACTTGAAGGTCACTTGTTTGTTAAATGATATGATAATTTTCGAAGTTAATTGTTTGGATTTTATTATTGTGGTTTTTTTAAACATAACTGCAGTGTACTGAGTCTCTTACCTGGCAGCTCTTGTATCTTCTCCATTCTAAAACCCATTCCTTGCCAGAAGTGGAATTGACCCTGGCCAACAAGTGCGCAGCAACCCAGCCACTTGCTCACCCTTCCTCCCAGTAGGCTTGGGGAGAGAATTGGAAGAGCAAAGGCGAGAGAACTTGTGGGTTGAGATAAAGACAGTTTAAGTGAAGGAAAGAGTAGGGAAAAACCCCAAGTGATGCAAAAGCAATCACTTGCCACCTCCCACAAGCAGACTGATCCCCAGTCTCAGAACAATGGCTGGTTTGGAAAGACCAAACCCCCAGTTTTTCTTGCAGAACATGATGTCATCTGGTACGGATTATCCTTTTCGTCAATATGGGTCTGCTGTTCTGTCCATGTTCCTCCCAACCTGTTGTCCATCTCCAGCCTGCTTGTGGCAGGGTGGAACACAGTGAGAAACAGAAGATTTTGATGCTGTGTGAGAAGTGTTCAACAACAGCTAAACCACAGGTGTGTTCTCAACAGTGTTTTAGTCACAAATACAAAACGCAGCGCCGTAGGAGTTGCTGTGGACAAAGGTAACTTTCCCAGCCAGACCTAATACCCACTACACTAAAATCATGTAATTATGATGTTTTTCCCCAGCTGTTTTGGAGTTGTTAGTGTTTCTGTTGCTTATTTTCTATTTGGAGAATTACAATTAGTTGAGTCTGTTCAGTGGGGTTAAAGGGGAAGCTTGTTCATATTTTAACTTACGTTTTTCATTCATTAACAGCATTATTCCTGGTGCTCAGAAAATCTGGATTCGTACATGGGGATGTTCACACAATAATTCGGATGGTGAATATATGGCTGGACAGCTGGCTGCATATGGATACAAAATTACAGGTAACAGTATCAGACAAGTCACATAATTCAGTTTTTTGGGGGCTGAATGATCAGAGCTCTCAAACTGTCATCAAATGTTTTCAGTCTTAATTACACTTTTTTTAAATCCCCCTTTGATCCCCTTCTGATTTGAAGATGAGAAGGTAAAGTGTTTTCCTGGCATTAAGCAGAATGATTACAAGATGAGTGCTTTCAGAATGGTTAGGTTCGCCTGACAGGGCAGCCGTCTAAATAGATGTCATGCAGTGCCTTTTTGTGAGCGTTTCGCTTGCGAAACTTAATTGAAAAGTTTTCATAAGAGTGGAAGGGGAAGAGATTAATTCTTGGGCAGAATCTAGGTGATTGTCTGATTGTAATTGGTGGAACCCAAGTGAGAGAGAGGAAGGAAGTGTGTTGTTGCTTAGTGATGTGTGAGGTTGCTACTGGAGCAGAGGTGAACTACTCCATGTGAATGTTCCTTTGTTTTGGGAGGGTCCGTTGATGTTATGGAGGTGGGATGATACAGGATTGTATCTTGTACATTCAAAAGAGCTGAAAATACTAGTTCTTCTTTCCTTCCAAATGCTTTAAAACACTCCCTGTCATCTTGTTCCGCCTTCCCAACCCTAAACAAAAAATCCAAACTTGTGGTTGTACTAGCTGCATTTCAGCTCCTTAATGCAAAATGTGTTCAGAAAAAAAAGCTGTGGGAAACTGAAAACATAGATTGATGTTATGTTTCAATGGAGAGTTATTATCTGAATACTTTTGTGTAGCTTATGAGTAGTCAAAATTAAAATTCAAATTTTATTCATTAATTCACGTTTTGGTCTGTCTTGTATTTAAACTTGTGTCCTACTTGGGCTGAAAGACTGCAAAATTGTCTTCCCTGACATTTAGCTATAGAAGTATTTTCTTCTTGATTTCACAAAATGCTTGTTTCTGTTATTGAACATCTCATGATATCGCTAAACCGTTACATCTCATTTTCCTTTCCTGCAGCTGATCTTTCTGTATTTACCCAAGTAGAAAGTAGATACTGAGTTATTCAAGTGCTGAACTATTTTAGGGAACCCAGGTGAGTCTTTAATTAGCAGTGCAACTCTGAAGTAGGCATACCCTTTTCACGGACAAGTGGAGTGCTGGTCCAAAAAGCCTCATTTGTGACAGCTGTTTGTGTAAGGCTACAAATGAGTTCTCAGTTTTGCCTTGTTATGGCTTGCTTAAATTTAACTTCTCTTTACCTTAATTTCTCTGATGCGTAGTGTTCCAGAAGCTACTTCTGGCTTGTCAAGATTCGGATGACTGTCGTGTGCTTTTGGAATTTTAGTGGAAGAAATGTAGGAAAGATGGAGTACAGTGAAGGAAGGAGCTACCTAAAATTGGGATTGAGGTAGACAAGAATTGAACATGAGTCAGTGATGTGCTCTTGTAGCAACGAAGGCAAACTGCATCTTAGACTGCATCTGCATTAGCAAGAGTGTAGCCAGCAGGTCTGGGAAAGCGATCCTTCAGTGCTGTGTGGTACTTCTTGTGAGACAGCCTTTGGAGTGCTGTGTCCAGTGATCCACCTTGGGCCCAGTTTGGGCTCCCCAGGAAAAAGAGAGAGGTTGATGTAGTTGGAGTGAGTCCAGTGGAGGGCCACCAAACTGGTTTGGGAGCACATCACGTATGAGGAGAGACTGGGAAGACTGGGTGTCTTCAGCCTTAAGAAGAGAAGGCTCCTGGAAGATGATCCTAGTTACAGACAGCAATATTCAGGAGGAGGGTGCAGAGAAGATGGAGTCAATCGCTTGCCAAAGGTGTGCAGTGAGACAAAAGACAACAGTCTTGCTCTTGACAGTGGCAGTTAAGATTTTTAGCATCCAGTGCATAACGTATTGCTCATGCTGTCCATCTTTTTGTAGAGGAAATACCAATATAGAAAGTTACCCAACATTTCTTGAGTATCTATTGTTAATCCCTTTTTAAGAAAGCGTGTTATTTTTTTTTAAACTCTGTCATCTGGGAAGTTCAGATAGAATGTCAAGAGGGGATTTAATCTCTTTTTGTCATATGCAGTGAAGTAGTTACTCAGTATTAGTATTACTTACCGTAATCCAAATTTCAAACATTTCTTGAAATTAGTATTGTTTACACTATGCGAAAAAAAGTTTTGCAAGAGCTGTTTTCTAAATCAGTGCCTGTCTTTGTTGCTAAAATTTGTTAGCTTAATATAAAACTGTTACAAACTTGAGGAAGAGACAGAAATATTCACTAAGGTGAAAGATTATCTGTTGTCACAGTGTCTTAGCTATTAAATAAGGGTTTTGATTAACCTGTTTCCTACATGTTCCTAAGGTTTTGAGTCAACACTTGTTGAAGAGATGCTGGAATAAAGTTCTGGTTCTAGGAAATAAAACATGAGCTTTACTTGCAGTTATTACTCCATTGAGGGAAATGGTCAAGTGCTGTTTCTGGTGTCTTCTTTCTAACTGCAAGATTGGGAAAAAAAAAATAGAAGGAAGAAAAACAGCATAGGACTTTTATTGCTGACTAGAAGTTGTAACAATACAATCTGCCTTGTAAGTTGACTGAGCTACAACTGAACATTGGTGTAACGATTGTCTTCTAATTATAGAACGAAATTTTTATGACTTATTAGAATAAGATCTTTGCTACACTATTCCTTATCCCTGTTTATTGCATGGATTTTACCCTGTTCTTGATTTGAACTCTGTTTGGGAGATGCAGAAGTCTTCCCCCCGTCCCCCCCTTCATCTGTTTCAAAAATGTTCTTTCTGTACAAGCACCCTTTGTTGCTTTCAGGAGCGGCTATATCCAAAGGTGAAAACTGAGGGCTGTGCTACAGTTTTTCACAACAAAAAGACTACCTCTGTCTGGGGAGAGAGCGTGGTATGAATTGACAATATACATATAGTGCAATAACAGCAATGCTGATTAAAAATCAGGAACTGAATCAGATTAAGGCAAAGGGGAACGAGCAGAAGAGCTGAACCTATTTTTTTTATCTGCTTTTATAATGTGAAGGTAGTCAATATTCCGACCAAAACTTGCATACCATCCTGTGGGAACACAAAGCTCCTTTGTTTCTCTGAGCCACACAGAAATGTGTGGACCAGCTGCTATCAGTGTAGGACTGTACCATGGTACTTGGTTGTGTTCTGAAAACAATATAGCTGATGGGGGCTTTACTGGTTCTAAAACTCATTTTGGTTTCTTGCCAGCATGACTTGCTGCATAGTTTAGATATACCTGCAGACCTACTAGAGTGCTCCCTTTGAGATACAACCTGGAGGAAGAAACTCTCATGGTACTGACAGGTAATGCCTACTGTGAAAAAGAGGAAGTGGGCGAACTGGGAGCTCTCAGATACTGTGAGCCAAATGTTTGTTTAGGAAGGGAATTCAGTATGTGTGCCACTTGAGGGTACTTTTTATCTGAAAAATGGAACCGAACATGTGTAGTCGGACATAGAAGGAACTGACTTCTGAAGCAGGTCGTTGTATTGGCGTTTGTTGGCATCTGTAGGTTTCTGGTTCTGTGGAATTAATGTTTTTCGGCTCAGCCTGCTTGAATACATTTTGATAGGTCAAACAGATATGATTGCTATTTTGTGATCATCGCTTTTGACTTGAGGTGGTTCAGGCCCAAAGCATTCCCTCCTCAGTCATTGTAAAACATGCTGGAGGCGGGGAAGACATTACTAATGAATTACAGATACCAGAAGAATGAGCAGTAACTTTGCCTTTTATGAAGATGAAGCAAAAACTGTTATTAAACATTCAGCAAAGCTAAACCAGTAACAGTTTATCTGCACTATGCTTTTTTTTCTTTAGAAAAAAATGCTAGCGTGGAACTTTTTCCTCCTATAGCACAGGATTCCAGGAGCAAAAAAGGGTGGAGTTGTTTTGTTGCTGATTCAGGGGGCTTGGATTTGGTTTTAACACATAGAAGCTAGGTTATATTAGAGATTCTTAGCTTTACTTGTGCAGTTTTAGACTAGCCTTTGTTCAAGCATCCTTTTTACTGTCTCACGCAACTTCTCTGCAAGTTGGATGGAAAGGTGCTGTATTTTTCATGGGTTCCTTCCTGTGCCTCTTAAAGAGCTCACTGTGTTACTATGACTATGGTTCTTGCTGGCAGGACTTTGTGAGATTTGCCAATTCCTATTGAAACTTAATGTTTATAGCCCATGTTATATGCTGTACAACTCTGAAATTCACTGTGCAGAGAATTTATGTGTTTCTCTAAAGCAAGTCTCAAGTAATCTTTTGAAATACTGTTAGAGAAATTATCTGCTTTTTATTGCCTCTTCTACTTGCAAATTTCGTAAGCACTTGTCAGTTTTGTTTACCAGTGGATATAGCTGAGGTATCCTTAAGACTGTCCATCTGTTCAGACAGCAAATTTGGATAGAAGAAGGAAGACGACAAGCGAGAACAAATGCTCTGATCTACTTAAGACCTCATGTTGAAAAGAAGACAGATGTAAAAGGAAGCAGTCTGCTGTTGAAAAAGCAGATGAGGTGCTACAAACTAATACAGACTTTGGCATTCAAAGGCATTGCCTGGTATACGTTGTGTTGCATAAACCGTGCTTTCTTAGACTTTGACCATCCCCGTACAGATACAGCAAAGCATGCTGCAGCATCCGTTTTGCTCATCCAAGTGGAAAAATAAAGATAATGACCAAGACTGTACAGGTATTGACTCATGGTTTGTGAATCGCAATTTGGAATCTGGTACTTTAAGTGTTGTTTCAAAAGTACTTTTCTAGTGCGCAATAAAATTTTAATAATTTTAGTTTTTGATTTATTTTGTTGTCGTAAAGTAGAGATCTCTTAAGCAGGTTACTGTATTTTATACATTTGTTAACTTAAAATAAGCTCTCTGCAGCCTGTGTAGCGATTGAAGTGTTTTGACTAAGGTTTCTGCTGGTTTTTAGCTGCTCAGAATCAGCAGTTAGTCTTTCCATTTTTCTCTCTTCACCCTGCTGGTAATGCTGCTTTGTTGCTTCATCAATCAAAGCATTAAAATTTAATCTTTGCTTTCAAGTTTGTACTTTTCAAACGGTTGTGATTGCAGTGCCAATTTAGAAAAAACAAATACTTTACAACCTTTTTTGAGGGGGGCCTGGGGGATGGGGACGGAGAGGAGTAGGTTTAAATACACAAAATAACCCAAGCTACTTTTCTGGTGACGAAAGGCGTTTCTGTTTTCTCTGACAACACTTCAGTCATGAAACTGTCATTCTCTGAGCCATGGAGAAAAGTGAACTGAGGTGTAAATCCTGTGATGGTTTGTACCCTTGCTGTCTAATTCCCCTGTTCTCTATCACTTGTAGACTCTCAATCCTGTATGATTTTTGCATTGCTTTTGGTAACCTTAGCTGCATAAATATTCCTGCAACAGATTTCTTTTTCAGATTCAAACTGACTGATAATCTGGACATAAAGGCTTTTGGTTGTTGATACTGAGAGAGGCAGTAAAGTAACTTATTTCTGTGCCTGTTGTTAAAGCAAGATAATTGTTTTAACAGTTCCAGCGATATGGTCTCGTGATTTCAGAAGGGCTAAGTTGCTGCTCCTCACAGGTTTGCTTTGTGTTTTGGTTCTTGGTGCTCAGGCCTGAAAACCCTGCTCTGTCATGCACAGTTAGTATGTGAATGCTTGGGATGTGGTTGCGGTTGTTCTTGTTGTGTTTAATCTCGTTCTTTTGCTGCTGCTGAAATAATTATTACACTTGGACATATCAAGAGCCATCTATCAAGGAGGTAGAAGAGCTTGTCATCTGTTTAGAACCTGAAACTTTTGTGGTGAGATGGTTAAGAGGATGAGGAGAGAGGGTGAAATGGGACATAAAGGGGAAGAAAAAAAAAAGGGGGGATATTCATGGGATTGAACTGCACGAATGTTGACAATCAGGATTTCACAGTTCTTTGGGAGGAATACAGGTATTCCCAGTGCAGCCTGAAGTGTCCTATAAGGCAATGAGTGGGATGATGGGTCTGGATATTGTTGGAGTGTTTTCTTGCAGTGTAGAGTTAATACAGCATCATGCCGTGACTCATCTGCAGCAGTGCATATTCCCCAGGTCTCTGTAAACTAACATATAATTGTGGTTTTGGCAGCTGTGTATTACTGTATTACTGCTCCTGTGTTCCCTGTAAAACTTAGTAGCCTGTGTGTGGCTACGGTTCTGCTACTTATCACTTCTGCCTTGTAGCACAGTGCGAGATATACGACCTTTTTGTGGTGAGTTGTTCCCACCTCAGCTTCCTCAGCATCAACTTCTTATTCCCGTTAGACAACTTTCTGTTAAGTGGAGT